CCCCAGGTCCCAGGTCCCAGCTGGGCCCACAGCAGCCCCCAGGCCCCCCAGCCACCTCCTGTCTCACTGGCTGCAGAGGCTCAACCAGGCCACCAAGAAGGTGAGGGAGCAGCAGGGTCGGTGTCAGGGGCATCGGGGAACCAGAGTGTGGGCAGCCCCCGAGTCCTCTCTCTGTCCCCGCAGGAGTCCCCTGGCTGCCTCCAGGCCTCTGTCATCTCCAACCTCTTCCGCCTGCTCACCCGGGACCTGAGATGTGTGGCCAGGCCGGATCTGTGTGCCTGAGCCCTCAGCCTCTCCTGCATCCTGCCACAGAAGCCTGCATCTCACTTCTGCCTCCCCCTCTTGCCTTAACTTATTGCCACCCAATCACTATTTATTTACTTGTTTGTCTGTTGGGTTCTCAAACTCACATCCAATGAAAGTTTATTTTTGTACCTTTGTAAACCTTGTTCAAATAAACATTGAGAAGAGCACTTTGTATCCTGACCCTTTGTACGGGTAGGTGTGGCTTTCTTTGTGCCTATAACACCCAAGGGCCATGCGGCCCTCCCGGAGCTGGTGAGTGTCGCTCCTGGGCTGCGGGCTCCCTGTCAGGCACTGCCAGCCCCTTCTCCTGCTTCCAGACATGAACCCAAGGTTCACCAGCTGGCCCTGATGGGAGGAAGCTTCTTCCAAGGGGATCTTGGCTCCCGCTCTCCGCTCCTCTGCTCCAGCTCAGGGCCCTGTGTCCCTCTGCAGTGCAGACCTCCTTGCTCTCACGATCCTGCTTCTGTCCTTTTCCTGGACGCCTCTCAGAGCCTGTAGCAGCGCTCTGACCCTGTACTCCCCGTGCCCCATGTCCACTGTGGAATTGATCGGGGCCTCTCCACAACCCAAGGCACTGTCCCTACCTAAAGACAAAAACCTTCATGATATCTGCAAGTCCCTGTGCCACACACTGTAAGACACACACGGCTCCCAGGCCCCATGGTAGGGTGACATATTCGGGGGGGGTGGCTCAGCCCAGCACCCTGATAGCTCGACTGTGTCCGAGTGTGCACAGGACTGTGCATGCGCTCGTACACCTGCCTGTGCATCCTTGCTCACTTGTGACTTTTGTTTCCGGCCCCGCTGAAGATGTGTGAGGGAATCAAAGGAAAGTCTCCTCTGCAGCCCGCTTTCACATTCCTTCCACCTCAACTGAACTCCCACAGGATCACAGAGATTCTGTCTTGGGGTGACTCAGACCTCATCCTCTAGTGATCTGAACCTCTTGTCAGCTTCACCCCGAGACCCAGTCACTGGCTGCTCCCATCCTAGATATATTTTCACTACCCTAGGCAGCACACTGACTGAAGATGTCCCTGTCCATCCCTCTCCTGCTGGCCAAATTCTCCCTCCCGGGGACTGAAGCCCCTCCTCACCTGCTGACCAGGGCCGGCTGTGCCTGACACGGTGTGGCCTCCTCTCCCCGCTTGTTGGTCCCCTGGCAGAGGAACACAGCTCCTCGGTGAGAATCAAAAGCTCGGGGTCATTGGCATTCTTGCCTTGGGCAGGGTGCACAGGGTCTTCCTCTGGGCACCAGGGCCTCTCCGTGAGCACAGCCGGACGCTGGGGAAGGAAGAACCAGTGTGTCGGGGCATTTCCACCCCACAGCCCTCTGCTGCTGGGTGCCCTTCAACTCCGGAAGTGCTGGGTCTCGTTTTGGGGTGGTCATTTGGCAGCACCTGGCCCTGCACTTCTCCCTGGTGACCCAGCAGCTGGCTGTGCTCTGCTGTGTGCTTTGTGTAGCTCCTTGACCTTTTTCCTCACCCTCAGACTACCCTGGGCTGCTCTGTTGCAGTCTCTGCTACCTCCAGGGCCTGCCCTGGACAGACTCCTCTGCCTGGCAGGTCTTGTGGGCTCAATGGGTTCATGTTTTAGAGCTGCTACACTGCAGCCTGGCCTGCTGATGGCTCCCACTCTGTCCTCATCCAACGTCATGGTTATGGCTTTGGAGTCTGTCTGAGCACAGACTTTACCATGTGTCTGGGCCTCTCTCACACGTGGCAGCTATGAGTTGCAATAATTTAATTGGGGAGGTGCCTGCCATACCCCAGAACTCAGGTCCCTAAACACTTCTTTCCCTCATGGGACAAGTGACCAAGTCCTTAAAGGTGCTGTCGCCTCCCTTCCGGAGTTGGGACTTCCAGTGTCCTTGCCAGTTCTTCACCGTGCCTGGGACTAGCAGCTGACATGAAGGAGTGGACCCCAGGGCCTTCCTGGGAAGACCCAGATGGTCTTCTGGAGAGGCGATTTTTCCAACAGGGGGCAGCACTGCTCACGTAGCCCAGGTCCTCCATGAGCACCTGGCCAGCCTCAGTCAGTGTGGCCTACTCTGATCTCCTGGTAGGCACAGTGACTGCCTTTGCCAGATCCAGGGCCAGATATTTCAGTGATAGGACCTGTGACATCCTGTCTAGCAAAGACGTTTGTCCCACACAGCTGTACAGTTTGAGCCAACACTGTCTTACACTGTCACCCATCTTGTTCTTTGCTTTTCTTTTCTTTGTCCTTCTCCTTCTCCTTCTCTTCCTCTTCTTTCTTTCTCCCACCCCGTGTGTGTGTGTGTGTGTGTGTGTGTGTGTGTGTGTGTGTGTGTGTGTATGATCCTGGAAATGTACCCCAGGGTCTAACACTTGCTAGTTAAGTGCTGTCCCACTGATCTATGTACCACGCCAGGTTTAGTTTGAAACAGACTCACTAAATTCCCCAGGATGGCCTCAGACTTGGAATCCTCCTGCCTCAGCATCCCAGAGTGATCAGATTCCAATCTATAGGACCAGGCCAGGTCCATGTGGTTTTGGAATGGGTAGGAGAGGGGAATGACTTGGGAATGTGCCGTGTGCCGGCAGCCCTACGTGCTTGAACCTTGGAGATTCACACAAACGCCCACCATCAGGCAAAGGCCTGGAACATACGATTCCTTTTCCTATCACGGCGGAGGAGGCTCGGCCAGGTCAGTGGTCTCTCCTGGGGCCTCCTGTGCTGCGGTAGCTCTGTGGGCCCCACCAGGGCCAGGACTCCATTTACTGCTGGAGTCCTGATGGCCTCAAGAGGGCCCGAGGGAGCATGTGTGTCCCCAGCATGGATATTAACTCAGGGCTGCTGTCCACTAATTTCCAAAGAGCCTCTGGCCAGTTTCCCATGGGCAGTGATGGCCAGTTTTATGTCTTGTTTTGGTTTTGTTTTTTAGTATGGGGGATCCAACTCAGGCCCTTGTGTGTGTGAGGCAGATGGCGGAACCGCTGAGCTACATCCCCAGCTGATGGCCAGTTATTTGTTCACAACCGCTGTCTTGGTCGAAAAGCTCTGATCAGCAGTACTTGCCAATTTCCATGGTGTAAACCCACCCTGTGGCCAATTTCCAGCTGCCAGTGCGATGTATCTACCCACAGAATCTGGAAGACTACAAAATAGCACATCAGCAGGACGCGGTTCTGTTTTTTCTTTTTATTACTGTTCATTAAGTTTACTGGTACATTTTAGGTACGCAGTATGATAAACTCATCACTGGGAACTTGTACTTTACATGAGGTATCTTGGTTCTTTTTTCCCCACTCCCCTGACCTCCCTTCAACCCCTCCCCCCCTCCCTATTCACCAAGACTTTGTTTCCATTTTTCCTTTTCTCATAGTTTTTCCTTTCCCCTACTCTTCCCACTTTCCCTTCCCCTTTAGATGTTTTCTTCCTGTTTCACATTATCTATTATACATTTTTCTCCTTATTTACACTTTCAGTTTCTCACACCAGAAGGTACACACAGTAGTCCTAACGTTTTCGATTCCTAGGGATATGGTCACGGTGTAGTACAGGCAATGTAGAAGTGGCAGACAGTAAATAAGTTTGGTTTTAAGCCCTAGGTTGGGTTTCTATGGGCCTGGAAACCTAGCTGTCAACGTAACAACCTCACCTCTGCCCACCTTTGGTGGAGCACCCGCGGTCCCGTCCTTCCACTCCTGATGTCCCCTGGCCCCGGGCACACAATTTGTCCCACCACGGCACACCCAGCGTCCATTGCCCTGCTCTCCGTGGCAGGTGCAGCCTGTCCTCAGTTCGGCGTCACGGGAGTGTGCTCGTCATTTGAGTGGCCCTCGGGGGGACGCTGTCGTTGCAGGCTGACCAGAAGGAAGGCTTCACGTTGGGGACTATTTCAGAGTTTTCAGTCCATGGCCGCCTGGCCCGGTTGACTTCAGGCCTGCAGCACGGGTGCTTGTGGAGGAAAAGCTGCTGGCCTCACAGTGGCCAGGCCCCAAGCAGAGCCGCGAGGAGAGGCCAGGCTTCCTGGATTCCCTGGAGCACAGCCCTGAGGACCTGACCTTCTCCTCCCCGGCCATCTGCGAGAGGGTCCACGGCCTCTGAACGTCATGGGCTCAGAACCAAGCCTTCAACACCTGAACTGAGAGGAGAGGTTTCAGACCCAACCCGCCAAGCAGTGAGTCCACCTGCCCACTGCGCAGCTGCAGCTCCAGGCCCACCCTGGGGCCAGCCGCTCCCAGGCCCGGCCATGCCCTTCCCACATGTTCCCATCCTCATTTATTTCTGCAAAATCTGCAGAACAAAGTGTTTCTCCATCCTGTTTCTCGCCAGGAGCCTCCACATTGCAGAAGCGGGGGAGAAGCCCACTCGTCCTGCCTCTGCACGCAGGTGTCCAAGGCTTGGCAGGGACTGTGGAGCCCAAGCTTCACACACAGAGCCCGGACAGACGAGCCAAAGCCACTGAGCAGAATTCCTCACTGTGTCCTCGCCCAAGGTGTGGGGCCTGGTTGGCAGGGCCCACTCTGTCGCCCCGGCCCCCGCTCTGCCCAGCCTCGGCTGCTCAAGGCCCCTGGCCAGGTGTTTGCACCCACCTCCACTGAGGCCCTCTCCAGGGCCCTGCAAAGCCCCCGCATCCTTCTCAGCACCAGAGAGGGGCCCTGGGACAGAACAATGTGATTGTTTCCCCGTACTGTGGTAACTTCACTGCTTCTCCATTACTGCATTACGTGAGACGTCTCCTGTGCCGCTTTAATAACCACTAACCGAGAGGTGCAGAGGGGCAGGATGGAGATTGCAGGTCTCCAGCGGGGAAGGGCACGAGGGTTCGTGTCTGGGAGGCCTTTGAGTCAGGTCCCAAGGTGGGCTGACACTGCTGTGTGTTCCCCGTATTGTAACAGATGTGCGGTCAGCTGAATAAAGGCCCCACAGATGTTCCTAGTGCCTGTGCCCTGTGCGTTTGTCACCTTTGCTGGCAGAAGGGACCCAGGGATGGGGCTGGTGTGAGTGGAGCACAGGGCCCTGAGGTGACCTGGTGGACCCAGTGCCCTCAGAGGG